AGTCATAATATTTTGGATGAAATTGTGAATCAGTTTTTAGCTTTGTGCTATGAGCTTCAGGCTACTTTTTAAATTCTCCCCCGAAGCTTACTGTTTTTTACATGAAGAGGCCATAAGTCATAATAAACATCAGGCTTAGGAGCGGCTCACACTCTAAATGTCAGGCTACAAAGCTACCTTTAAAGATTAAATCTCTGCCCTCTTCAAAAGGGAGGTTGAAGGGAAAGATGGAGAAATTCCAAATACAGAGAACCTTACAAATAAAGTGAAGTTTACTACTAACAAAACGTATCTTGTGAAAACACACTTGGTGCTTTGCTGTTGGAGCTGCCCTTGATAAAATGTGGGTGTCATTTGGAAAGGACATCATTTCCAATGAATTCTGAAAGTGTCACACAGAGTATTGATTGATCGAGTCTTGCCGTCAGCGTGACCAGGGCCAGCAAAGAGCTATCCCTGTGATCCAATTTTCAGAGCTCACAGACACCTCCAGTCCCAGGCAAATGGCGTCAGCAAGTGGCAGGAGGGATCTGGGGGAGGGGAGCAGGAGGGAATCGTAGAGGGGAGAGTTGTTGCCCTGCATCTGCTTGTCTAAGCATTAAATGTTATTAGCCACAAGCATGGCCCCCCCACTGTGGGAAAGGCTGCTGTATTTCTGGCTTTTGTGTTGCCAGCAGTGCCAAACCATTTGTAAGTCAGAAGTAGGTTCTTATCAGCAACATACACCCTGATAAGATCATGGTTTTTATGATTCCATCAGTGTTCAGCCAGTTTCCCGCTTCTGCCTACAGACGTGTACACCCAGCAAAGAGGTGGGCAAGGGCATGCAAACTGCACAGCCACTGCTTTCCAAACACAGCTCTGGCAGTAGGAAGCCACCGGCATGCTGCCCGCCTGCCCCATGTGCCACTCTGGCACAGGGCTTGGGAAGCAGATTCTCCCCATGCCAAATGCAGAGCCAGCTTTGGGCTCTAGTGTAATACTTTGGACCTGCTATTTACAGAGGCTCAGGTACTAAACCAATTAATCTTGTAGGAGAAGCTGGAGAGGGAAATTATCGACACCCATTATGAAGCTGAGTAATCTCAAAAGGAAACTGTTGTCTCAGCCTGAGCGACTCCTGGCTTCGTTCTGAAAGCACTGGTGAGGTGTTCACAGGGATGGCTCCCACCGCTGCACAATTAGGGATGTGCCTTGATTTGCCCACATTAAACAGGAAGAAATATCATGTGGGATACTAGCAAAACAAATCCTTTGCCGGGCTTTAGGCACCAAGCTCTGGTAAAACAACAGGAAAAATGAAATAATGGAGAACAAGAATAAAAGGAGAGCAAACGGTTAAGAGAAATGGGGGGATTTGCTGTTTGTATGAGACTGGTGAGGAAAGAAAGACTAAGTGGGATGAATGAATTACGAATGCCTTCTCATTATACACCAGATGATTATGTGCCAACTCATTGTTACTCAATATATGAAATATTTGCTCCTGCTGTATTGTTTCCTCTTGTAGCAAGTGACATGAAATCTTCTTCATTACTTTTGAAAGGAAATTACTTTTTTCTCTTATAATTATTTATGTATTCAAATAAACCTAGCAACTGATGTGCTTTGTCAGACATTTCTGATTAAAAAAGTTGAAATATAGATAGCACTGGAAAAAAAAAAAACAAATGTAAACAATAATTTAAAAATAACAATCATTTCCTAAAAAAATAATTCAAGAAAAGCAGGCTTTAATCAAACTGAGACAAAAGGTGCCCGAAAGTATTGTGGGATTTGCAGCTATTTTTTATTGAACAGAAAAATTAAGGCCCTGAGCTTCTAATGAGATTTTGCAGACGGAGACCAGCACCAACACATAACTATTTACTCTATTTAACAGACTCATTTCAAGATCAGTATCTATATCTGTAAATATTTCTGGCTAAACCTGAGGATCTCTCACATCTGAGTGAATATAGCACAGCAAAAGCAAGGCTCCTCAACTAGTTATCTTGTAATTTGTTTCCTATAAAGTAAATATCTTGCTTTAAAAAGCGCATATGGAACTGAAATTCTTGCTAGGCATCCAGAAAATACATTCTACACTTTGCACTATGAATTTACCAAGCATAATTAATAACAAAGACAGCAGATGCAGTGAAGATACATAGTAAAGCCTCCTACAGGATACACTATGTTTGCATAGAGAGCATAACACCACTTCAAGCCACAAGCAAATCAATCAAAGTCAACATCTATTTCCAAGTGATTTAAAATAGAACAAAAGTAACTAATTTAATGAATTTTTCATTACAAGCCCTCCACTCCACCACAGATGAACTAAAAAAAATCTACAAAACAATCATACAGCATGAGAGAGAGAAACCAAATTCTCCTTACCTTAGGAAGGACTGCTACCAGCCGATCTAAATTAGGCTAAGCACAAGCAATGCGCTTGGGCTGAAAAGCCCTTGCTAAGCCTCTGCTTATTTTATGCTGCCTGAGCAGGTGTGTGTGTGTCTCCTAACAGTTGCACCTGAAATTTAAGTTGCCCTCTACTTCCCCTAGTAGAGACTTTATTCCATGGTTCCTAACTTTGCTAAGGAGTTTAACTGCAGAGATCTGTGTTTCTCTTTCTGTGTATCAGATCTCACAACTGGCTGCAGCTGACTTCTTTTTCAGAAAGTTTTGATAGGCATGGGCATATCTGAAAAACCTCACTGCTATCAGGCAATACACATACTATCTGTGTCATGGGCCACCTCACCAAATAGGCTTTCTTTGGAGCAAAACCTTATCTGTATCTCAACATAACATCCAAGTGTTCATGGGATGAGTGCAGAGCGAGCTCATGTAACATGAAGGCCTCTGAAGTTCACTGCTTAATGAAGGCATCGCTAATTGCTATTGCATCTGCTGTTGCTCCAGATGAGTGGGACTGGTGTTGCAGTCTGTGGTTGCACTGTACACTGGCGGCAGCAAAGGGGGAGCGTTCAAATGGAAAACGCTGCCTTTCCTCATCGTTGTTGTGATGTACCTAGCCTAGAAGCCATAAAATAAGTTTGTAATAAAGTGTAGCTGTTCTGGGCACTAATATGTGAGTAGTAAAAGAGGACAATCCTGGGATTTTATTCTGAAGAGACTGAGGCAAAGTCTGTTCAAAGCTGAAGCTCCCATTAACTTCAATAGGTCCAAATACTGCAGATGATTTCTGCAGAAGTTCATCTGGGTAACCCACTTTTTGCTGCAACAGCTAAGTATTGACAAGGCCTGTTTCCATTTCCATCACTGTTCACACCTTTGTCATATCCAACTTTGACAATAGCACTGGCCCATCCAACAGAGATTAGGCAGATTTTTTTCCCCTTAATAAATTTTCTCATTTCTTAAATTTCTTACAGCAAGTGGATATTTTGCAGAGGATCACACAGCCTAAATCAGAAAGCCAACAGGAAATTAAAGGAGAGCAAACCTTCCCTTTCATCACTCTATATTAGCACTCTATATTAGTTACTTTACTCAGTTGTTTTTTATTCTGGCTCTTTTTTTTTTATTATTTTGCACTACTAACAAGTGGAGGGGGTTTTATTTTGATCTTTCTCCAATAACCATAGCTGGTGCATCTAGGTCTGCCTTTTTGGACACCAAATGCCAAGCTGTGCTTTGATGTGTGGCATTCATGCAGCTTCCCATAAACATTCCAGGAATAAATCAGAGCATTGTGGAGCCAGCTAGTTGGCCTGTATATGTAACCTGTAGGAAGGGGCAGTTCCAGAACACCTGGCTTTTTGTAGTCTTTTCCCTTTCTTTTGCCCGGTGTTAGGATGCTCCTGTTCTCTCCTCAGAAGAGGAGAGTGTTAGTGGTCAGCACAGCCCAAGATGACAGATATTGAAGTCCAAAGCAATGACACCAGTTTTCCAGAATTTCTTGTTTTTCACAAGTAGGCAAGTAGACAAAAATCTCTTCACAGATGGTTTCCATTATGCCAAGCGAGCCCCAGTTTGGCTCCTGCTGATCTCCCAGGACAGTATCTCTGTGGCTTCTCTATCCAGAATCACTCACTTGACTACCTCATGCACTCAGAGTGCCCAGTTTCATATTGCTGTTGGACTTGCAGAGCCCTAGTTGAGCTTGTTAATGGGAGTTTCACTGTAAGACTTACTAAATCTGAGTGAAATAAAGAACCAGAAAACACTCCAGAAAATGGAATTCTTGATTAACCAGCATTACAAAAATGTGACATGTAACTTCTGGGGAGCATTTAGGGAATATACCACATCCCATTTCACCAGATTGGACTTCAATTTTTATTCTATTATAATCTATGTACCAAAATCTGGCATTTTCTTGCCCAAATTCTATTTAAAATGAGCAGACTGTTAACTTAGCAGAGTGAATGAAAGAAAACCTTGTAAACTAAACTTTACATTTTTTGGGTACAGTTCGTTGAAGTCAGACTATTAACACCAAAGCATACTAATTCAATATACATATTTAGTTCTCAATACTATAGTGCATGAACGTAAGCTACTAAATGCAAGTAAAGAACCTGGGAGTTTTTCTACCCTTTATACTTCATCTGTGTATGCTGCACATACAAGCTGAAGTCTGTCTTGGAAAATCTGCAGATAAATGAAAGGAAGTAATCTGGTATAATGCTAGGCTTGGGCAGAAATCCCCCTCACTGCATTGGCCAAGGTCCTGCTCAGTGTGGGCAGCCGGGTGGTGGGCAGACCTTTCAGCAGACCTGCACAGAAGCAATAGTAATGCCCAGTACATGCGGCAATGGTGGTATTGCAATAGTCTTATTTGGTAAGAACAAGAAGCTGGCCGCAAATCTGTTGCTTCTGAGGGCTATGAAAGAGAGAGTCTCCGTTACAAGAGGTTAAGAGGGCACATCTATCTTCAAAGAACAGGATAAGCAGCAGTTCATGGAAACCGAAAGAAACGCAAGTCCTGGAGGGAAGGCTGTGGAAGTGGGGAAGCCTGAAGCTAGACTGCTTGTCTGTCTCTGCAGGAGCCACACCACAGTGGAGATCATCTCTGCATTTGAAAAATACACATTGAAGAGCAGTCACCCTCTGGACCTGAATGGACACATGGAGACACACAGCAAGCCTGCTGCAAGTACAGCTGTCCCACCCCCTGCAAGTACTTTGCCTTTAAAAGAAAAGAAGGATGCCACTCATGCCAGCTCTCCCTAAGCAACATTGGCACTGCTTCATGTCCTGGTGCTTGTCTCATTAAGGACAGAATGAAGGTGCAATACTCTGAATAGGAATTGTTGCCTACATTATGTCAAATCCTTCATAGAAAGGAAAAAATCCAACTGTGGGGTAGAAAACCCCTGCCCGTCTTCAATCAATCCTCACTACCACCAGGCATCTAGTCAATTTTTATTCAGTCTTCTGTAGACTCGACTTCAATGAAGTGGCACAGCAGGGCCAGTGCCGGCAGCTGCCGGGTCCCACTGCCAGCACACTGGTGCTGCCGAGGAGGAGAGCCAGCAGAGCCCAGGAGGGCTGTGCAGGGGACACTGGAGTATTTCAATCCGTGCCCCAGCCCTTAATCATAAACTCGAGGTTCAAAGCCTTGCTGGGCTGCTGGCCGCTGATCCCATCTCAAGGTGATAGTCACCTCTAGCCTTTCTGCAAACTGCAAACCTACTGTCCATCCATCTTAAAGCAGCTTGACACTGGCTTCTCTACCCATTTTACAGCCAGCGAACATTTCCTATTGATTTATTGATTTCTGTCTGCCTGTGGAAGGAGCTCAGAACAGACTCTATGTGCTCTTGCAGCCTCCTGCATAGATTTTTTTCTCCCTTTTTCCCTTTTTATCCAAGCTGTGTTAGCAGTCTGTGGTGAAGCAGGAATTAGACCATGCGGGAGCCCAATTTGCTACTGGCAAATGTGCCAGGCTTTTCTTCCTCTCCCTACCCGGAATACACACCTCCACTCCCACTCTCTGCCTCCTGTCTCCTTTTCCTCAGGAAAGCCAGCAGATCCCTGCCTATCCAGCCAGTTCATCTTAGCTAAAACTTTTGCTGCTTCCCTTCAGATCTTTCCCTGTCATTAACAGGTGTTTGAAGTGCATCTAATCACTGCTTGTAACTGCGATTCCTTGATTTATACTGGGTCAGAGGAATTTCCTCTTTTCTCAGTCAATCCAGAAAAGGGCACACTCATCTGTGTGAGTACAAACCTCTGCATGTTTTAACAGACACGTTGCATGTATTTCAGAGTCCCATGGGGCATTCGATAGCTCATAGGTTTGAATTGGAGAAGGGACATACACTGCCTTCCACCCCCTAGTTGCCAGTCCAAATGGAGCCCAGGTCAGCAGTGATTGAAAGTTATTCCTGGCTGATGCCGGTTCAGAGCCTTACAAGAAATTAGTGCAGTTTCCAGACAGCTCCCAGCGGTCAGATGTCCACATCACAAAAAAGCAATCTGGCTTATCATTCTCCACAGAGAGGCAAGCATTGAGTGAGTGAGAGGCTGCTCTTTCTGGTGTCTGAGGTGGTGCCTCTAAGCTATGTCTCAGCCGTGACAGTGGGAAACTTGCTGCTGGTGGCCACAGTCTTCCTCAGCTGGGGAGCAATGTCCCACAGTCCACCTCACCCTGGCTTCAGGGCCAGTCCCAGTGTGGAGTGATGCTGATGCTTTGCCCTGCTTGAGCCCCTTGGACTGTATTTTAGGTGAGTTTGGGTTCACCTTCTTACTCGTCATCCTCCTCGTACCTCTGGCTGCCGAAGCTGCAGTAACACTTGGTCAGACAGCAAACACAATGGCATGACAGGATAAAAAGGACATTAGCAGGTAAGGGGCTGTCCTCTGTAAATACAGTCTCGCAGAGGACTGACAGAGGTTCCACTGTAGACAACTTCTGTGAAAAGCACTGCTATTTGTTTCCTGCTTCCCAGCCTTCCCTCAAAGTGCACATACCTGAGCAGGAGAGGAAAATTAAACAGCAGCCTACAGAGCTGGCAATCAAAATATGCAGCCCTGGTATCCTTTCAGGAGATCACATCTCTGCACTCACATGTGCAAACCTCCCCTTTGCCACTCCCTGAGGGAATACATACAGGCAAATATATGTATTCATACATTTGTATTTCCACTCAGACAAAAGGGGGGAAGGAGAATCCCACTGGAAATGGCTCCTCTCTTCCCTTAGAAGACCTGTGGGGGTTAATCATGTTTCTAGGCTGTGGGGCTGCAGGGGCTGAGTGCTCAACACCTCTGCTCAGACCAGGAATCTGTTTATATTCTCCTTATCCCCCTTTTACAACAGTCCTTTGGCTCAGCTTAGATTCACAGGAATTTTTGTTCCTTTATCTCCTTAGAGACTGCCCTGCTTGTGGCAAAAATGCCTTTTGTGGGCCCTCACCTGCCTTCCTTTATGTTCCCAGAGGATGCACAGACTCAGTCTGGCTGGCTAACCCCAAGCAAGACACCATCCTCACCCCTCATCTCCACTGAGCACCCTTCACAGCTGCTCCAGTTTAATCACTATCTCTCAGCATTTGATTTCTTGACTAGAATTTATAGTATCACAGAAATTGCTGTATTATTCCTTAATATTATGAGCTGGAATAGATCATCATGGACATACTTCAGAGGTATGGCGAGAGGTGCCTGCACCAAAAGCTGTACATGCTTTCCCTTCGAGAAGCTGGCCTTGTGCATAGGGAACAGGTATTTTCTCCAGAATAACTATGTAAAACAGTATGAAACCTTGTGGGCATGAGAGTTGAAAAATATATGAACAATTAAAAACTAACCCCTGTACTGGTGTTGCTTATTCTAATCTGTTGAAGATAAAGCACTGATGAGATACTGGGGACTCTGAAATGGAGATATTTGAAGCCAGAATAGGGAGAGCATGCAAAGGGAAAGCTACAGGCATGGTTAAAGGCTATGTAACCAGCAGGTATCAGGGGCTGGAGCCTGCTCTTGTTTAAACTCATATACTGCCAGCAGTGTCAATTAAATGATGCAGATTTACACCAGCACAGAATCTTGTCTGAAGTCCGCTCTCTGCCTCACGCACATGAGAAAGTGTTTACAGGGCAACTACCACTGTTCTTTAAGGAAATTGCATCTGCTCATTTTTACATTGGGTCTATCCATATGTAACTACATGCATTTCAACGGGTTACTTCTGATTTACACTGCAGGCATCGTGCATTTCCCTAGACCAACATTAACTATTTATTGATCTTCCCAGTACCCCTGTGAGGAAGGCTATTATTCCCATCATATAGACAAACAAGGATTACATTTTGGAGACTGTCTGGATCTGGTGCACACATCTGAACCTCTTTTGCCATCAATTACACTTCTTACAGCTCTTATGTTCCTCCATTTTACCCCCCGTCACCATATGTGTGCAGGAGAATGGAGAGGAAAAACAGCACAAACAATAATCCAGGTCTAAATGCAAGGTAAGTCTCTCAGGCTTATTTCACCTGATTTCTCTTTTTTATAAACACAAAAATCTCTCAGACTTCTTAAATTTGCAGAGAGCTGTTTCCAAGCCTGGCTGGTGTTCTGTTTGATGTCTCAGACTGCACCTGGAGATGGGGTGAATTTTTGGGGGTGTGTGGAGTATGGGGTTGCACCAGCAGCAGGCAGTTGGGCAGCCCCACAGCCTCGCTGCTGTCAGCTTGGGGACTGATGGGGTGGTGGGTGGCTGCAGAAAATATGGGCTGGTATTAGCATGTGCTTGGTGTGGAAAGGGAACATGGTTGCTGTGAATTAGTAAGCGGGATGTTAAAGCTTGATCCAAAGCACACTGAGTGCAGCATTAAGTCTCCCCTGGACTTCAATGTACATTGCATCAGGTCTTTAATAACATAATTCTTCAGTACGAGGTGAAGAAATCTCTCAACAGCACAGTTACTGTTTCTTGATATACTCTAAGATGCCTGGATCTCCCGCTCTGCCTGCATGCCTGCCATGCGCCAACCAAAATTACCAGCACTGCACTGTCTATGATACTTCAGAGTTTCAGCCATTCAACAGACCTAACCAAATCTCCAGGAGACCCCGAGCCCAAGATCCTAATCTTTTTGCTCGGGCACTGGGGCATGACTTCCTTAGTTTGTCCCTGACAAGCAGTACGCTGCACCCTGCATTGGCATTTCACGGTCCCCTGACTCCCATGTGTGGGATTTCCTATTGCTACTTTCTTTCCAGTTCCCTTCTCCCTCTGGAAGGAGGCGATGGAGCTGAGTTTCTCTGAGCTGCCAGACAGGAAACCCTAACTCAGAGTCGGGCACGTGAGAGGTCCAGCAAAGACAGCCCCAGCTCTCTTCACTGGCCCAGGCATGCTGGAGTGGAGTACAAGTTGACAAACAGAATAAATACAATTGGCACCTGATTTATTGATTACACCCCTTCTGAAGACAGGCCCTCTACCGAGATGAGATTCGTAACATATCACATCACTTAAATGAGCCCTGAAGCGTGTCCTTGGTCACATTTTCACCACTGGTGTTTTCATGAGGCACCAACATTTTTAGGTTTTCCATGTGTGTGATCCTTCCCATGGTATGAGCCAGTGCACCCCACTGGTACTGGATCAGAGTTCCTCAAAAGGCAGAATTCATGACCTGCAGAAAATTCAGGTATTTCAACACTGTGATTCTTGTCAACTTCAGTGGGACTGTCCCACAGCTCAGGGTTTCAGAGCTGAGCTATATTTTGTGACAAGCTCTAGTAAATGGTTCAGCTTGCTTTGGTGATGCTTCTGCATGCCAGACTGGGAGATGCAGCAGCACACACACAAACATGTAGGAAAGCACTAACAATAAATGTTGCAACCTCTGGTATTAGCACATTTTAGGAATGAATGTATTTCCTAGATAGGCAGAATTTTATTTTTGTCACTTTGAAAATGCTTGTGTATTGGGATGAACTCCAGTTGCAAAGAATATCAATCAGATCTTTTTATGAATAAAGTGATCTGCTATAGAGATCTTTCATCAAATGACTTCATTTACAGAGTCACCCTATTTTACCCATCTTGCTTTGAGAAGACATTAGCTTGATTTGGTTTTGTTGCCAATGATATATCTTCTCTTTCGTTTAGTTTTGCTGATCTTACTCCTATCACTCTTCTTCTGTCACCTGCAGTGCATCTCTTCAGTGCTCAGTTACTTTCTCTGCAACCTATTTCATCCTATTAGGTGGACAGCTACAACTGGTGATGTGGCCCAGACAGATTTTCTTGTTCCTGATAATAAATGGAGTGTTCAGTTGTGTAACTCTGACCTTGTGTATAATTTTCAAAGATAAGTTTTGGGGAAACAAATGGGTTAGTCATTATAGAAATATTGTGAGACTTGACAGAAAATAACATGGCAGAAAATTATGACAGAAACGGCAGAAAGCACTGTGAGGCTCTACAGTATCTAAATTATCTTTCTATATCCCAGGATTGATAGTTTTACAATAATTCTCTAAGTTTCTAAACTTCATCTCCCTTGGGCCTCCCACTGCTATTGTATTTCCCATTTTCCTGCAAAGACTCCAGTTAGGCTTATAGCTCTTTTAACAATTTTTAAAAAGCTTTCAAAATGTTTAGTATATTTCTTCTGTTATTTTCTACTAAAAATAAATATTTTGCACTAAGGATTTTTTCAGCACTTCCCAATCTCATCTCGTTGTAGATAGTAATCTTCGGGAGGGGTCCAAAAGAGTAGAATGATCTGCTCCAAATAACACAGCACAGGCTTGTGAGCATTTGCAATAGGTAGTGGGAAGCAAGTGGCAGAAGACAGAGGTACTGAGGACCTTGGAGGAGGCAAGTGAGGACAGACACTCAACCTGTCTCTGGCAGCAAGTCACAGACCAGTCTGTTTGGCCTGATCCTGGTTTGTTTGTTAGGGCAGCAGCAGCCACATAGCAAAGGCTGACACACGCTTCAGCGTGTTTTTAGGGAAAAAGCCCAGTGCTCAGAGCAAAACATACTGGGCAGCACATCCCAAAGCAAAGCCAGAGGCTGTATACCATCACCAGCATTGATGTTTGTCAGAAATCAAACAAGAAAATAAGCACATGTATGAAGGAAGCTTGTCTCTGTCCTGTCCTACACAGTCAGTGGCACTGACTGCAATAATACATAGCCGTCCAGTCCTACTTACCACCTATTGCTGATTCTTGAATGACTAATGACACTTTAGGGTACCTGAGATATGTTCCTATTGATAGGAGTGCTTGTTGACTGCACAAAGGTAATGAGATTGTTTCTATGCTGAAGGTAAGGCCACTGAATCCCTGTGTGCAAATGCTGGGAGGTTCTTTGCCTCCCCTGCTGTTTTGACCACATTACAGCCAACATCTGCAGTGCATGTCTTGCAGTAGCAGTACTCATAGTGTAGGATATCTCCTGCCTGTGTTGCTACTGCTATGCTCAGTTTACCTTGTTGCAGCACCCCTACATTTGCAGGTAGTTGTGGTTTGACTGCTATTTATGAGCTGTGCTTATTTGTGTGCTGTGTTAGGACAACAACCCTGCAGCATGTGTAAACTGCTGTAACTCTGTGGTGGTCTTTAACTGAAAATCTCTGAATGCAGCCAGTTCTACTGAGGTTGCTAAAAAGGGAAACAGAGTTATATACACTCTGTGGTGAGGCCCAGGGGTGGATTTGTGCAGAACAGGGAGTAAAGAAGTTTGATCCCAGGAGCCTCCCTGACAGCCCTGTGACTCTCCTGATGGCTATAGTCACAGCCTCTTTCTCTGTCCCTTCCTTCCCTTCCTGCCTCCTTACTCCTGCTGTATTTTCCCAGGACTTTTGAAGGAGAGCTTGAATGCTGTTATGTGGCACCATGAATGTAATACAAGTTGGACTAGTTTTACTATTGTCCTATGCTTTTTATTCTCTGGGTGTAGTTGTTGCCTCCAAAGACGCATGTCTAGGCCTGAGAGGGGTCTTGTCTTTCTGCCTAGCTTTGGGGAAAGCATATGACATGGTGTCTGATTGGACTGAGGGTAAGGAAGAGGGACCTGCCATCCCTGACAACTTCACCATGTCAAGACAAGTGACAGGGGATTGCTCAGTACAGGGCCTGTTGAGAAGATAACTTTCCTCAGCTTTACCTGAAAGAATGAAAGCTCATTATGTGCCTAACGGCAGAAGGTGTCTCTCCTGGCTTTCTCCCAGGGGGAAAGATGACCCTAGGACATTGCAGGCAGATCTGCACAGAGAATTTGCCAGTGGTCCATTAGAAATGATTGCTGAGCAAGGAAACAGCACCTTTTCTGCTGACGCCAAAGGCAGCTGTGGAAGGTGGGACAGACGCTGGGAAGAGGTAACACCTCAGCAGAGGGGCAGAGGCTCACTGGCATTTCCACTGCCATCTCTCACCTTTTATACCACTTTCTGTCTGTCCTTGAAAAAGTTACACAGGGACATGTTACCCACAAAGCATCCTTGGGAGGTGAGGGAAGATTGTGTTACGCTGGATAGTATTAACAGTTGCATCAATCACAAGCCTGGTCAAAGCAAATAGATGTCCTACTCACCCTTTATTCAGGCTGAATGGAAGATGCAATTAAATGGCTCTCATATAGTGACAGCAGGAACAGCAAAAGCCATTATCCAAAGCCCTATCAGAAGTGTGTGGGCTGAAGCACCATAATCCTCAGCAGAAGAAAGACAGGCAGAGAGGTGCCCTGGGCCTGGCTCAGAAAGGCAGCTAGCAGCAGGCGAGTGCATGGAGAGCAGTGGGGAGGAGGGGACGTATCAACATTCAGGTGTGAGCAGAAGCAGCACTCCCTGTGTCTTAAGGCTGCTGGCAGGCTGGTCTGGAATCCTGACCTGAAAAATTGCCTCTGCCTGTGTCAAGGAAACAGGTTTAGACCAAAGAAATAACTGTTCTATATAACTGATGTCATTTTTGGGGAGGGAGGAAAGCCCAGGAGAATATTGGGTAATTTGGGGGCCAAAAAGGTCCCTTTAAGCTCATCCAACAATGGGAAAAATATTATCAAATGTGCTAGAGGGGTGGGATTCACCACATGTAGATAGCGCAACGTACGCCTCTGCACTGATTTAATAGCCTAAATTGTCCTTAAGTCACTAAAGAGAAATAGACCATTTTAGGGAAAGCTTCATCTTTTCCCAAAGAAGGTGTTTTAAAACAGGTCAGATAAATTGGGCTTAGAACTGCCTGCTTCTCTCTATTGACTTTCACAAGAGTCTAGACAACAAGCTGAGATAGAGATATCCACACTATACATGTCTAAAGTTAGGTAAGATGAATCCTATCCAATAAGTCTCTGTGCCTCTACCTGCAGGCAAGAAAGGGAATGTGAATAGTGATGGATGAGAGAAGAATTGAATTTCCTACAAACATTCATCCACTCTTTCTCTGAACTGGCTTTGGCTGCATTCTCATGTATTTGTGCTTTTCATTAACACTCTATGACAGTACAAATGGTAGTGGAAGGCAAGTTTCATGCTTGCACACACAAAACTTGTGGGAAGAAGATTGTCAATTTTTTTCTCACAGGCTTTTTGCACCAAAAGTGATGGCCATATTTACATTCAGCCAGGCTATCTACACGAACTGCTCTGAACTTCTGACCTCTTTAGGCACAATGAAAGATAACAAAGATGAAGGCTGTATATTTTCTTTGACAGAATTATGAAGGCCGGGACATAAGTCATTTAAGCAGAAAGGATTGAAAGGGCCATGGGGTGCATTGGCTGCTGCAGTGAGAAGAGCGCACAAACTCGTTCTGTCAGAGAGCTGGCGGAAGCTGATGATGGAAACATAGGTATAATCTGCATAGGAACAGGAGCAAGATATTTTCTTGCTGGTGTGTGAGCCAGGGCCAAGTCACCCTCCTAATTCTTCCTGTCGTTTCTGAAAGATTCATTTCCTGATGCCTCTGCTGGAGAAATGGGCTCCGTATCCCAGGTCTCACCTTGTCCATGAATGTATCAGGAGCTGTCCCAGGGGTCAAATTCTTCTCCTGCTCACAACCCAGGCAAGCCCATCATCTTTAAAGGTCTCACAGAAGCACTAATACGAAGAAAAATATGGTCACCATCATGTTATTCTGCTTGTATTTTTGTGGGTGTCCAAAGTGCTCTTTTCAATGATTTTAGGTATGCTTTCTGCAAAGCAGAAAAATGTCTAGCTATTTCTCAGCTGCTAGTAACATTTCAAACCCTAACATCAACTATCTGTACACAATAGATTTTCTTTAAATAACTCTTAGCAAATGCTTGACATCTGTTTTCTCTAATTAATTCTAGCAGTCATCATACTTCACTGCATATGTTGAAAGCTTTCAAGGATGATAAGAGCTACCTACAGCATTTCAGTCCTGTGAGTTTGAATTGTAAACACTACTCCATAAAAGCTTCAGGATAGTTCATTCTGAAAAGTCAGTGAGAGAAACGCAAGGTGAAACACCTGCTGAATGTGAAAATAATAACCAAAGGAATTAGGGAGAATTGTTTCAAAATGCTGTCTTTTGATTTTATTGTAGTTATATTCGGGATTAAATTGAGGCAATAGAAATAAACAGCCTGGAATAGCAGTGCTTCCTGTGAAACTATGAAACAAAAGTCTTTTGCCCTACTGCAGCTTCAAAGCAAAAGGTAGTCACAGATGCAAGAGCGCAAGGAAATGAGAAGGCAATACTATCATAACTACGTACATGATGCCCCACCTCACAAACTGCACTATGGCCATCATATCCTAAGGGAGAAATCTGTCCTGAAAAGCAAGCATCAAAAGGCATGCCTGTGTCAGTGCTGGTCAGACCCATCCATGCTCCCATTTCTGCACACTGGATTTGGTTGTTGTCACCTTATTTTCACCCACATACCTGCCTGCCATTTGCCATTGTGTTCTTGCAGCCTGGGGGTTCCCAGTGACCTGGGACTGACAGCACACTTCTGGTGCTGCCAGAGGCAACAATAATCACTCTTACTGCAAAAAACATCATAAAATCAGCATTCCTAATAATCTGATGCCTTTCTCTGAAGAGGAGTGTAGCCTTCAACATCACCTTTTCCTTGCCTGTAATCACCCCTTGTGTGTTTTGTAAACAGAACGACAAAGACCATTCAGATAACACGTTAATGAGTATAAGAGTTTGCTG